AGTGGTCTAAGGCACCTACTTAGAACAAGCTTGGCAAGGCATCAGGGACCGCGGTTCAATCCCCCAGCACCACATGCCAGCCAGCCCCGCCCCCCTGGTGGGCTGAGCTGGCCACACACACACACACACACACCACACACACTCTCTCTCTCTCTCTCTCTCTCTCTCTCTCTCTCTCTCTCTCAAATAAATAAAAAAAAATACATTACCAAAAAACACCTTAAACAGTCAAAACACAAATGGCACACCAAAAGTATTTGTATGATACACTATACAAAGGGCTAATGGCTCTAAAATATAAAGAACTCTTGAAAAGTGAAATAAAAAAAAGTGACTGAAACCCCTGGCAAAAGGATTTAAAGTAGACATGAACAGTTCACAAAGACATAAGAAAAGACCTAAAAATTGGGGCGGGGGGAGTTTAACTTCATTCATGATAAGAGAAATAAAAACTAAAATCATACTTGGCACCTTGTCAATAATGTGCAGATGTGAACTAGTCATACAAATCTTCATAATTTTAAGATCTAAATAAAATATTTTTAAATTAAAGGAACAATGAGAGAGAAGCTGGGGGAGAGTTGATTCTCCAAAAGCTACAAGTGGAAGAGGTCAGAATTATTTGCAGGCAAGCCAAGAAAACTTAAAAACGAACAAAAAATACTGAAGCAAAAAAATCTCAGAGATCTCTAAGTTCAGGCATATCAAAAGATACATAGTTAGAGCTTTAGATGACACATTAGAAGAGAAAAATACATTTAGGGACACAATGACTACAGCTGTGGCAGAAGACACGGCTAAGTCCCGGACGCCTCTGGGACGCACGACACACAGAACCACTCTAAAGCTCATCACAGTCAAACTGCTACACAGCAGACAAGCAGCCAGAAAAGAACAATAGAGTCCATTTAAGGCAACAGCAGTGAGATTTTGGATGACGTCGCAGCAGAAACTAGAGTCCATCATGCATGAGAATTAGATGTCAGAAGGCCAAAGTGCAGGGAAGTATTTTGGAACGCATCAACAAAGGATCAGACGGCCAATGCAACTGGTCTCCAACATAAACACACACGGAGTTTTATTTCCAGTTTGAACAAACTCCTAACACAGAGCCCTGCAACCAGTTACCACAACTCTGAACAAAATGCAAAACCCCCAGAGCCTCTAGAGAGTGACCAAAGGGACAGATTGCTGTTTTATTACATATTTTAGCTTATGAGTGGGCTGACACAAGCCGTGGTAAGTTTCACTTTGTGGCACTTACTCTCTCAGTGAAAACTTACCTTTCTGGCCTGCAAAGCCAGAAAAATGATGTTTGAGATTATAACGGCTGCAAAATGCAGGAAAAATGCCAGCAGGAGTGACCGGGAAGCACAGGGGTTTGTGTATCCCCTTGCCTGGGTCTCTAGCACCATAAACGCACATGGACAGATAGCAGGTAGACCAGCTTAGGCTGATGGAGCACGACTAGAGTTGGAGCTGTTACCTAAGACACACCAGTTTTTAGTTTAAATTCAGCAAGAGTAATTGTCTGCTGAAACAAAAATACCGAGTCTTCCAAGGAAGGTAAGAGAATCCAGAGTTGTCGACACCCTAATGTCTGAGATCTGCAATAGGATTTTATAGCAGGCGATATGTGACCATGAAAACGCGATTCCGTTTCTAGAGAAGCGGCCATAAGCCAGTCACCCCGCGATGATCCGGACAGTAGATCAGACGAGGACCTGACAGCAGCTACTATAACTACGTTCATTAAGGTAAAGGAAAACGTTCCGGTAACAAGCTATCAAATATACAGACAGATGAAAATCTTTGAATAAACCCAACGGAGGTGAAGCCGCATGGAAGGAAGTTACTGGCTGAACTACCTGAAGGAGTACAGGGAGTCTTTCCTCTCTTTAGTCCCTGGACTCCATGAAGTAAGCAGTTTCCTCTGCCGTGTGCTCCTGCTAGAAGATGCTGTATGCAGCTGGGTGTGGTGACACATTCCCTGTACCCCCAGCACCTGGGAGGCTGAGGCAGGAAGATCTCCATGGCTTCAAGGCCACCCTAGGCTACATAGTAAGCTCAAGGGCATTCTGAATCACTCAGACCCTGTCTCAAACAAGAAAAAACAACCAAGGCACTGTTCTTTCTCACGCCCAAAACCAACAGGGCCAACCAAGCATGGAATGAAACTTCCAAAAACCATTGGCCAAAATAAACCTTTCCTCCTTACAAATGGTTTATCTCAAGTACTCTGTCATAATGACAGAATGTTGAATAACCTATAAGGCTTCTACATTTTACATAGTGTGAATTTTAACTTATTCTTCTCAACAATCATAGAATAAGTAGATAAATAATACTAAGTTGCCCAGGCTGGCCTCAAACTTGTGAACCTCCCAGAAGGCTGAGGTCCCTGGTGTGTTCACCTCCACCTGGCATTCACATGTTTTTGAGTATTACCCTAATACACATTCTATACATACATGTAAATGAACTAGAATTTCCAAAGCATCTTGTTCAAGCACAAGGAAGTGGAGCTGTTGAACTTACTTGAGCTCAAGTCATACTTTAAAGCTACAACAAACAGTACAGTGTGGTACTGGCCAAAGGATAGCTGTTGCAGCTCAATGGAACAAAAGTGTGAGTGGTCAACTGGTTGTCAACAAAGTCACCAAGACATGTAGACAAAGACAAGAAAGTCTTTACAACAAACGATAGCTGAAAATCTGGATATCCATACTGGGGAAACAAATATTAGTAATTCATCAGACCGTAGATAAAAATTAACTTGAAATGGGTCATAGACCTAAATGTAAAAAGCAAAAACTACCACATATCTAGAACATGGGGTAAAACCTTGATGTTCACAGGAATAGGTTAGTGTTTATTTCCATGTTACAAAAACAGTACACATAAGTGAAAAAAGTCATGACTTTGTCTTCATCAGAAGTCAAATCATCTGCTCAAGAAGGATATTAACACGAAAATGAAGCAAACCACAATCTGGGAAAGATAGCTGCAAGAATCTCAAAATAACTCCTACAACTCAAAGATAAATTTCTTTCGTGAACAAGATTTTTTTTTTCCAGTACCAGGGATTGAACTCAGGACCC